ACACCTTTCCCACGGTTTTGTTGCTCAAAAAAAGAAACTATCTCACGGTTCATATAAAAAAACTAAAAAAATTTATCCCACGGTTTATAAAAAAAGGTCATCCACTTCATAAATGTTTTTCCTTACACAATACTAATAGAAAAAATACATAATTTCCATTAACCTTTTATTTTTAATTTTTAAATAATAAAATTCACAAATAGTCCTTGAACTTGGTAATTCTAGTTTTCCAACTTAAGAAAAATATTTTTAGGTTTTCTAAACTTGACTCATGGTGTCATCTCGATCTATAACTTAGAAAATACCATTGTCGGGTCCTTATACTTGGTTCTAGGTGTCGTCATGTTAGCACAGATAGGGGTAAACTCGCTCCCTGGGCTCATGTAGCAATGTGGACTGTACGTTGGCGTGGACTCGATATGTGTGGCCCACATTCAGGTTCACCTCTTCTCTACCCTACTGGCGACGGATGAGGGTTGGGTCTTAAGATGTCTCCAACAGGAGACCTATTGTGGAACCCAAACCCAAAATGGGTCTCCAACACAATACTTATAGCTTCCAACAGAGTATCTATATGAAAAACTCATTTTAGGTGCCAGGAGAAGCATAAACCAAATCTGAGTATCCTCTCTCCTGGAGACCCATTTACAGAAAGGGTTGTCTTTTGAGTCTTGTTGTTGGAGAAGACAAAAAATAGTTATTGAACCATTTGACTATAGCGCTATGTAAAGGACGAATGAGTCTTGTATTTTAGGTCATGGTTGTTGGAGGCAGTCTTAATAGGAGCTACTACTACAAGGTGGACAGGGGCATGGAGGGAAAAGGAGAGCACGACAAAACAAGGAACGAACGAAAAAAAGAGTGCCATAATGGTTTTTATAACATTTTTTTATAACAGAGTGCCGGCCCAAACGTTGGATAACCATGGCGAGAGATGGTATAAAGAAAGAGGAGAGACGAAAAAGAGCATAGAACAGAAAATGGATGTAGAATGTACGCTCCTCTGATGGATCTTGGAGCTACGTCAAAGCACATCATGCCATGGCATTGTAGTACCTATTTGCATCCGGATGACACCTGGAACCAATTTTGAGGTTGCGAAAATGGTGGTATTTATTAAGTTGGGGACCTAAAAGAGACCGGAGTCAAGCTTAGGGATCCCAAAATAGCATTTTGTAAGATGAGAAGACCATATTTTTTTTGAGAATCAGATGAGAAGACTAGACTTATAATCCGTACTTTGCAGCTTGTTTTTTTCAGTCGGAACGTATTTTTCTCTCACAACAAATCAGCCGGAACAGTGTTTTGGCTTGTTTTTTCAACGAAGCGAACGGGGCCATATACCTCTTGCCGAATTTAAGATCCTCATAAACTTTTTTTTTCTTCAAAATATGGTATAGGTGCAAGTGCACACTACTCTTGTGATGAGTGCATCTAAGAAACACATACGACAGATCCTGACATTACTGTATTATCTTGCCACGTCATTGTTAATGATCATGTCATCTATCGCTAAATGAATAGCACCGTTCTTTATTAAAAAAACTACAAAAATATAAACACGCGTGTCAAATCTATTGAACCCTATATGAAAGTCCCACTACAAGATAATCAGCCTGTTCGTTTCGGCTGAATTGGTTTATAAGCCATGGCTGAAAGTACTGCTGGCTAGTTTGATGTGAGAGAAAAATACTATTCAAGTCGTGGATTATAAGCCAGATATAAGCGAATAAGCCGAAACAAACAGGCTGAATCTATCCAACTAAGCTATGTTATCGTTACAACACGTTTGATCCGGAATCATCTCAATTGCTTTTCACGTCAATATCAGATCTCTGCGTTAAGAAGAGGAAGCGAAGGCCTTCCGGACCCTCGAAACAAAGGCCCCGTTCGCTGGTCTGAAACTTGGCTGAAAAACACTGTTTCGGCTGATTTGTTGTGAGAGAAAAATACTGTTTGACTGGTTTAATAAACAATAACTTAAGAGAGGGATCAGCCGGCTGGCTGAAAATTTCAGACCAGCGAACAGCCCCAAAAAGAACACCACCGTCCCATCCAACACAAAGATTGAAAGGGGCAAATCTATGACCGACCTGATGCGTTCGATAGGCTTGTTTAGGAGATCTCCAATTTTTTTAAAAAAACAAATCCAATTCACCATATTCATTCAGATCTATCGTAGAGCAGCTTTACTGTAGAGTCTCCTAATAATGTATTTCTTAGGGCAGTTCCAACGGTGTATTGATGATGGTTTCTATCCTCATTAAATGACTTGCCACGTAGGAAAAATGTTGACATGGCAACGTAGTTAATGAAGAAAGAGAGTAAAAATTATAGAAATAGTTTCCTCATGAAGAAACCAGATCTTCTCTTGACCCAATGTACCAAGAAACCATGAAATCGTCATTGGGAAGAAACCACCAGTTTCTAAGAGGCTCGTGCCGCACTTCCATTGGAGAAAGAAGATAGAGTTGAGAGAGAGAAAGAGAAAATAATTATTACTCATAGAAACTATGGATTAAAAAGCAGTACTTTTTTTATAGTATCCTATGTTATAGAAACTACTACTTTTTTTTATTAGGACTATCCTTACAGTTCCAACTCTAAGTTTCCTCCCTTCTATCTCAATGCCACCTGCGTCCGCGCGTGAGCTCTCCATCCCCTCTTTCCTCCCCTTCGTACAAGAGCACATCAGACTGGACGGGTCGGCTTGCAGGTAGTGGGGGCCAATGCATGCGAGGATGTGACCGACGAGGAGGGGATGATCGGCACCACGACGCACAACATGGACGGGACGGCTAGCCAGCGGGTGACCTTCGCGACCAGGTTGGCTGCTATGGAGAAAGAAAGAAAAGAAGGTACTGGTTCGAAGTGAAATATGAGTTACGAGTGGTAATGGTGCGTAATTTCATCCGACTCCATCAAACTTTGAGTTTTCATAGCATGAGGTGCTCCACGATATGGACATGGGAGAGCAGATCCACTGGTTTTGTAGAACTGCTTTATGGTGGATCTGTGTGGATATATAAAGTATTTTGCTTGTAAAAGTAGATCCGGATCTATTTTCGTGGATACAGAGCTAATCAACCTCGTTCAAACATGCCTTATATACTCCGTCCAAAAAAGAACAAAAGAAATCTAGATTTAAATTGAGTGATAGCTGAGTTTATACCAAAATCAGTTTACTACTTAAAAAGTATGGACTGGTTTCGTCCAACATTTTTTGGTGCGTGCGCCCAACGCTCCAACCACGTCCTAGATTCTGGTTCGGTCTTCTGCCTCCGTCTACCACGTCAGAGTCTGGTTCGGTCTTCTGTCTTCGTCTCCATCCGCAATACGCCGTCCGTCCGTATGTACTTATTTCTTTCCACACGTACCCTGTCATGCATGACCATGTACATAGGTGTATGTGTATATATGAAAAGGCTTCTTGCTTCTTGATTAGCACATGTGATCCGGCCGTTGAGTTAATTAGGCACTTCAAGTTTATCTCGAATCAAAACGCCGCATACTTCGGAGATGTATTACATGGCCGTGTGCTGAATATATTTCATTTTAGATATGAACAGCATGTATATAATACTAAGTCTTAGATTCCTGCTCACGCGTTCAAATCCAATACAAATCATCGTTCTCTTTGAGCTCATGTGTCCGTGTCCTATCCCGTTCCGATTCGAATACCTAGAGCTGAGAGTTGGGTCATGCCATTTGAGCGCAGGTCATGACAAGCTCTTTTATCACGGCTCGAAGCACGACACGGCACAAAATATTCTGGGTTGTACTGTCACGACAAGAACACGAGGGTCGTGCCGTGCCTAGGATCTCGACACGTCGGGCTACATGGCCCAGACCGTATATTTGGGCCGTGCTTGGACCTGCACGGCATGAAAATAGCACGTAGACAACTCTACAAGGCAATTTCCTTGCATTTACTATACTATCTCTCATCTAATTCTTGAATAGATCGTGAAAATCGTTAAAACTTGCATGAAAATAGTACACATAAGATATATATTTTTTAATCACAAGCGGAAAAAGAAAACTAGCAGAGATATTTTGAGGACCGTGCTTGGGCTAGCACGACCCGAAGACGTGCCGGCGTGCCACGGCCGTGCTTGAGCCAAAGAAAAGATTTACCATACCGTATCGGCATGGCCCGACGAGTCCCTCATGCCTAGAGGGCACGAACCAAAGCGACACAGGGACATGCCGTGCTGCCACCTCTACGAATACCGGATCTGATACGAAGTCCTCGGACCACCGCCCCGCGCATGTACATGTAACCAGCTGACACGTTGATAAATAACTAAAGAAAGAAAAAAGAGGTCAGAATGAAATTGAAAATAGTTCAAGGTTCTCACTGCAAAATCATTTATTAGCTTTTTATTATTTTGTGAAATGATCAAAACCATCACTATAGGTGTGGACAAAATTCATGAGGACATGCAACGCACGGGCACATGTCTAATAATGTTAATATTTATGAGTTTAATGATATTATCTGAAACATATTTTATAATGAATTTAATTACCATTATTTGGTATCATCAATATATTATTTTTATATTTCGTTAACTTGGTATAAAAGTGAAATTATATTTTCACTACAGCGCGGCAATGTTTGATCTTATGTACTGTAGCGGTGTGATTGGGAGCGTCGGTGTCCGCCTACGCCGACGCTGATCCACGCTACAGGGCAGCCTACAGCGGCGGTGCCTGCGTGTCTCCTCCACGGAGGTCTCTGGCGACTGCTGGTGCCGCCGGGCAGCCGGCCGTTGGGCCGGCTCTGGCTAAGCAACATTTATTCCCGTGAGCGACCACGCCTCTCCACGTGCCATCCACCCACCCACACCGGCCACTGCCACCACGGGCCCATCACGCCATGCTCACCTCCCGAACCTGAGCCTGACCTGACCACCGCGCCGCGCCCGTTACTCCTCGCCGCCTTCTTCTTCTGCCGTGCTGCTCCGTGACTCTGCCTCACACCTCGGCGCCACGCCATGGCACCCATCTGCTCCCTTCTCTTCCTCCTGCTACTGCCTCGTTCCACCGCTGCTCTCTCCAAGTCCAAACCGCCCGCGCGGTACCGGTACCACACGCTCCACGCCAGCCCGCTCTCCCCCGACCCCATCGCCCGAGCCGACGCCGCGCGACCTCTCTTCGCCGCCGCCGCCGGAGCATCCATCTCGGAGCTGGACGCGCACGACATCAGCAATGGCTCCACCGTCCACCTGCTCCTCGCCCACCACGAGGCGTTCGCGGCGCCCAACGCCACGGCGGCCCAGCTCCTGGCGCACCGCCTGACGCGAGACGCCGCGCGCGCCGAGGCGATCTCCGTGTCCATGTCCGTGCCCGCGGCGGCCGCGAGGAACGTGACGCGCGGCGCTGCCAGCGCCCGTGGCGGGTTCGCGGCGCCCGTGGTGTCCGGCCTGGCGCAGGGCAGCGGCGAGTACTTCGCTTCGGTGGGCGTGGGCACGCCGCCGACGCCCGCGCTGCTGGTGATGGACACCGGCAGCGACGTGGTGTGGCTGCAGTGCGCGCCGTGCCGCCGGTGCTACGCGCAGTCGGGCCGGGTGTTCGACCCGCGGCGGTCCCGGTCGTACGCCGCCGTCCGCTGCGGCGCGGCGCCCTGCCGCGGCCTCGACGCCGGGGGCGCCGGCGGCTGCGACCGGCGCCGCGGGACGTGCCTGTACCAGGTGGCCTACGGGGACGGGTCCGTCACGGCGGGGGACCTGGCCACGGAGACGCTGTCGTTCGCGCGGGGCGCGCGGGTGCCGCGCGTCGCCGTCGGGTGCGGGCACGACAACGAGGGCCTGTTCGTGGCCGCCGCGGGGCTGCTGGGCCTCGGCCGCGGCCGGCTGTCGCTGCCCACCCAGACGGCGCGCCGCTACGGCCGCCGCTTCTCCTACTGCCTGGTGGGCCGTACCTCGTCGTCGTCGCTGAACCGTCCGTCGGCCACGCCGCGCTCGTCCACGCTGACCTTCGGCGCGGGCGCCGTTCCCGGCCGCGCGTCGTTGTCGTTCACCCCGATGGTGAGCAACCCCAGGATGGCGACGTTCTACTACGTGCGCGTGATGGGGTTCAGCGTGGGCGGCGCGCGCGTCGGCGGCGTGGGCGAGCGGAGCCTCCGTCTGGACCCGTCGGTGTGATCCTGGACTCGGGCACGTCGGTGACGCGGCTGGCGCGGCCCGTGTACGCGGCCGTGCGGGAGGCGTTCCGGGCGGCGGCGGGCGGGCTCCGGCTGGCCCCCGGCGGGTTCTCGCTGTTCGACACGTGCTACGACCTGCGTGGGAGGCTTATGGTGAAGGTGCCGACGGTGTCGGTGCACCTGGCGGGCGGCGCGGAGGTGGCGCTGCCGCCGGAGAACTACCTGATCCCCGTGGACACGCGGGGCACGTTCTGCCTGGCGCTGGCCGGCACGGAGGGCGGCGTCTCCATCGTGGGCAACATCCAGCAGCAGGGGTTCAGCGTCGTGTTCGACGGCGACAAGCAGCGCGTCGCCCTGGTGCCCAAGAGCTGCTAGCTAGCCTAGCAGGGGTGCTGGACTGATGAGTGGAGTGGCCGACCCGAACCAAAAGGGGTGCCTCTTTGTTTGTGTTCTTCTCTGCGATACTTTTGCAATGGAATGGAAGTGGTGTTGAGTTGTGCGTGAACGAATCACTCCCCTCCCCTCAGAGTCAGCGTGTTGGCCCGGGTGATGCACCCTGTATGCTTGGGTTTATGCTCGGATTTATTCGGTTTATAAGTCGTACTTTTTTAGTTGACGAATAATATTTTTCTCTTACACTAAATCAGTTGACAGTATTTTCATGGTTTATCAGCCAAGTAAACCCAAAACGGGGCACGTGATGACGGCCGGACACGTGGCATTGGCATGGCTGCCGGAAGTGCATGCATCCCATCTCGATCCGATCATGGATTGCCTCTCTTTTCTCGGACATCGCCGGAGATCGGATCGGGACACCGTTGCCGGCACGTCAGAGGGGAGGACCGTTGCCTGCCCTAGTCCTGTGCTGCCTGAATGCCACACCCGACACTCGTCCCGTCACCACCCCACATAAAACTGTGACTGACTGATGCCGACGCCATGCGATCATCTCCATGCACCAATTTTAGTGCAATTCTAGGTTAAATATATTCTATAATATAATGATAATTAATCTATTTTTATCAAATTTATAGAAAGAGTATCAACATTTATATCTCTAGATATATTTATTGACAAAATATATTTCATAACTAATATAATAATATTTATTTCGTATCGTAAATATTAGCATTTTATTTTTAATAGATTTAGCCGACGTTTTTTGGTCTTTTCGAAGAGCAATTACACTCTTTTTAGTATGTTTGAATTTTGAAACATTTTCACGGTTCATCAACTTGCAGAAATGTTTAGCCCTCTTTGGATTGTAGGACAAAAAAAAAGAAAAAACTAAACGGTAATGATTGGACGCGGGCGTCCCGTCCGGACGCCATACGCCGTACGCCCACTTCGCCTCGCTCTTGCCGCTCCGGCGCTCCCTCCCGCCCGTCGCGCGCGCCGCTCGCCCGAGCCAAAGCCGGTGCTGGTGTCGCTGGTGGTGGTGAGGCTCTTTCGCCGCTGGCTCTGACCCCGACGGCTGGAATTGATCGGCCCCCGCCCCCCTTATGTTGCAAAACACACATTTCAAGTGTTTCAGATGTTTAATCGGTATGTTACAAGTGTTTTACATGGACATTGCAAAAGTACATCGAGATGTTGCATATGTTGCAATGGTTATACACGTATATTGCAAACTTCTGTTCCCAATATTTCATCTGTTTCCTCAACCATATGTTGCAAGTGTGTTTATCTAGATATTGTATATGTTTCAGACAAATGTTGTAATTATTTTATCTGGATGTTGCATAGTTTATAATGGTTTCAGGTGTTTTTCCCGGTGTTTTATCTGGATGTTGTATATTGTATCTTGTTTCCTATGTTTTTTTGAGTTCATCCGAACGTACGCGTCCCTATAAAAATCTTGTCTCTCAGATCCTTTGTTTTGTATATATGGATTCCTATCCTGTTTGTGTGTTTTTATTATTTTTGTATTTTTTGAACCATATGTCCAGAAAGGGTGTGTTGGTTCGGAATAGGATATTAGAAACATGATAGATAGCATGAAGGAATTGGTCACGTGACAATTAACAACTCATGCCCACCCCGTGATCACACACGAAGCTTTACTCCTTGGACCACGAATGTAAGTCGATCGTAGTCGCAGATATAGGAATTTCGAGAGATGCTCATGGATAGCTACGATCCCGAGGACTAACCAGAAAGTAGTGGCAAACTTTAAGTTGGATTCTTCGCTCGGCAAGCGAGCATCAGGGCAGTCCCAACGAAAGAAAACAGTAGTTTCTATAATATAGGACACCGCATCAAAAAAGTACTACTTTTCAACTCATGGTTTCTATGAGTAATAATTATTTTCTCTTTCTCTCTCTCTCAACTCTATCTTCTTCCTCCAATGAGAGTGCGACACGACCTCCCTAGAAACTGGTGGTTTCTTCCCAATGGTGATTTCATAGTTTCTTGGTGCATTGGGTCAAGAGTAGACCTGATTTCTTCATGAGGAAACAATTTCTATGATTTTTGCTCTCTTTCTTCATTAATTACGTTGACATGTCAGCATTTTGTCTACGTGGCAAGTCATTTAATGAGAATATAAACCATTATTAATGCACCATTGGGACTGCCCTGACAAGCGAGGACACGTGTTTAGCTTCCATGCTCGAGCTCGTCGAGGACAACCGAGGTTTGGTTCGCTCATGTGAAAGAGCCAAATCGACTCGCTCACTGGAGGCGAGGTCACGTCGAAAGCCAAGTAGGTCCTCGGTTTTCATTCATCTATGCTTGCTGGAACTTTTGGAAGAAGTTTTCATTCACTTGTTCCCTCCGTCCCATATCAGAAGTCGCTATGGGATAAATATAGGTTAGACTTTCTCAACTTTAACTAGATTTGTAGAAAATACGTGAAACATTTATATCTTTAATTAAGTTTATTATGAAAATATATTCAACGATCTATATAATGATACTAATTATATTTTATAAATATTAATATTCTTTTATATATAATTGATCAAAGTTAAAAAAAAGCTGAACGGGAAGCGAGAACGACTTCTATTTTGGGATGAAAAGAGTATGCTCGTTGTTTGTTGGAACTATTAGAACGAAAGGAACTGACGAATTTTTTAGAACGAGATTGCTAAACTGAGATGTCGCCAAGTGGAACCGGATCTTGGGTCATGCCATACGAGGGCGAGCCATGGCATGACCCAAAACATGGCAGACCGCGAAATATTTTGGACCGTGTCGGCACGGTATGAACGCGGTTGAGTAAGCTGCTTAGGATCTCAACATGATGGGTTGCACGGCCTAACCCGTATTTTGGATCGTGCTTGGGCTGGACGACATAAAAATAGCACGTAAACACACCACAACATTACAATGTAATTTTCTAGTATTTACTATCCTCAAGGATGATGTGCTGAAGGTGAGAAGACAAGGGGATATGATCATATTAGCTAAACTTGTCATTAGTGATATGGTCTTAAACGTAATTAGTGCGTATGCCCCCAAGTAGGCCATGATAAGAGTGATAAGCGGTTTTTTCTGGGAAGACTTAGATCGCTTGGTTAGAGCTGTCCCTAGTAGCGAGAAGCTCTTTATAGGAGGTGATCTTAATGGCCATGTAGGTACATCAAGTGCAGGTTTTAAGGCGGTTCATGGGGATTTTGGATATGGTAATAGGAACCAGGAGGGAGGGGAAGTCTTAGACTTCGCGATAGCTTTTGATATGATGATAGCTAACACTTTCTTTTGTAAGAGACAGTCTAATTTAGTGACCTTTAGTAGCGGCTGGTACTCTAGTCAAATCGACTTTGTCCTTACAAGGAGGAGGGATAAACGAACACGTTTGGACTGTAAGGTGATACCTGGAGAATGTGTGATCGCTCAACACAAGCCGGTGGTGGCCGACTTCCGCTTTCTGGTGCAAGCTCGTGGGAACAAACAAGATAGGGTTGCTAGAACGAAGTGGTGGAAATTAGAAGGGGATGCATCAAAGGTCTTTAAGGAAAATGTCATTGAAGAGGGCCCTTGAAAGGATGAAGACGATGTAAACAACATGTGGGAGATGATGGCAACATGCGTTCAGAAGGTTGCTTTAGAGGTGCTTGGAGTGACCAAAGGGAGCGGATGCGACTCGAAAGACACTTGGTGGTGGAATGAAGATGTACAAAAGGCTATTAAGGAAAAGAAGAAGTGCTATAAGTGCTTGTATCATGACAGGTGTGCAGACAACATAGAGAAGTATAAAGTGGCAAAGAAGTCTGTAAAACGAGCGATGAGTGAGGCAAAGGGGCGGGCCTATGAAGACTTTTACCAATGTTTGAGTACGAATGAAGGAGAGAAAGATATTTATAGGATGGCTAGGGCTCGCGATAGGAAGACAAGAGACTTCAACCAAGTCAAGTGCATAAAAGATGAGAGGGAGCAACTTTTGATGAAGGAGGATGAGATCAGACATAGATGGCAAGAGTATTTTGATAAATTGTTGTGAGAACGAGAACACCACCGATCAGCTGGATGACTCGTTTGATGACACTAATAGGCGCTTTGTGCGAAGGATTCAAGAATCAGAGGTCAGAGAAGCCTTGAAAAGGATGAAAGAGGGGTAAAACGATGGGCCCTGATGGTATCCCAATCAAGGTGTGGAGATGTCTCGGGGATATAGCTATAGTATGGCTAACCAAGATGTTCAACAATATCTTTTGATCGAACAAGGTGCCTGAGGAGTGGAGAAGAAGCATATTGGTACCAATCTACAAGAACAAGGGAGATATCCAAAGTTGTACTAATTATCGGGGAATTAAGTTGATGATCCACACTATGAAGCTATGGGAGAGAGTCATCGAGCAACGCCTATGAGGAACGATGTAGATATCAACAAACCAATTTGGTTTCATGCCTGGAAGATCAACCACAAAAGCAATCTTCTTAATAAGACAAGTTATGGAGCGGTTTAGAGAGCAAAAGAAAGGCATCCACATGGTTTTCATTGACTTGGAGAAGGCTTATGACAAGATACCAAGAAATGTTATGTGGTGAGCTTTGGACAAACATAAAGTACGATCAAAGTACGTGACCCTCATCAAGGACATGTACAACAATGTTGTGACTAGTGTTCGAACAAACGATGGTAATACAGATTACTTCCTGATTAAAATTAAACTTCATCAAGGGTCAACCTTAAGCCCGTATCTGTTTGCCTTGGTAATGGATGAGGTACCAGGAACATACAAGGGGATATCCCTTGGTGTATGTTGTTCGCTGATGATATAGTGGCCCTGTTCGGCTTACCCCATATCCGGCTTGTCCGGCTTCTTTTTTCAGCCGGAACAATGTTTTTCTCTCACAACATTTCAGCCAGAACAGTGTTTTCAGCCAATTTCAGCCAAGATTCAGCAAGCCGAACGGGGCCAGTGTTAGTG